ATGGCCTGTCACAGCACAGAGGGCAGGTACACATGTGCATGCCCAGAAGGCTACTATGGTCATGAGTGCATGAGCCTCAAAACCCCCTGCATTGGACAACACTGTCCAGGTGAGAAAACGATGTGTGTCTTAAAACGAATATCATTTTGAACTGGAGTCTGGTCTAAAGCTCTGCCTGTGTCTGCAGGTGCCATGTCTGACACGACGCACGGGGGGGTCAGCTTCTACATCATCCTGGTGGGCGTCATAACTTTAGTGATGGTGTGTGGTTGTGCCGCCTGCGCCTTCATCCTGTCACACCTCCATCGAAAGCGGAAAAAGCAGCAGGCCGTCCCACAGGAAGAAGGCATCAACAACCAGAGGGAGTTTGTCAACCTCATCAGAAACGTGGACCGTCCCGTTCCCCTCCTGCCCCCCGCCGCCCCGCCAGCACACCCCCCAGCCCCTCCCGCCCTCATATCACGTTGCTATGAGGAGATTGAACTGACGCTGCCGCCCTCCCCTGCACCTTCACACCCATCTCCAGCACTGAAGCCGGCACACGGCCCCAAACTGGACATTTCAAACCAGGAGAGGGAGAAGTTGAACAACTTCCACTACACAGAAACCCAGGAGCTGGAGGCCTGACCTTTGAACTTCTGGGCCTCTGAAGAGCCTTTTTATTTTATTTTGCGTTCTTCGCAGTCTCTCGCGCACAGGATCCTGTTTCTAGATTCCTGCACTGTGTCTCTGCTGCAGCCCTGAAAATGCGGTGACCCTATGACCTTTATGTGATACACCTGGCTGCTAAGTAGGAGGGTCCGTAAATCTTATTGTGATGTCGTCTCTGACTTTATTTACTATGAGAAGCAGCAGCATGTTTGACTGAAACACTCATCACACTCTTGATTTAATCTGGAGTTTTTAAGACTTGCCTCGCAGTGCCTGAGATGCTGTAAAGAGGAAAGAGGAAGCACCTCGGAGCCTCTCCCCTGTCTCCGTCTGATCGGTGTCCAGAAACACCTTTCTGTTTCAGACTTCACAGACAGACAGAGAGATCAATGAATGGATGCTTATTTAACACTCAGTGTATGTTTCTGTGTCTGGTTGTGTGTAAGTGTGTGTGAGAGAATTTTTATTATGAGTGTGTGTGGCGGGGTAAAAAAAAAGGACAGTTTACTTCAAGAAAAGAAAACAAAGTTGATATACTTGTCAAAGAGGATGCATACTCCTGCTCCAAGGGCTTTAAGGGCCTTTTTTAAACTGTTTTAAAACTATACACTGTTGCCTGTATTGTCTCTGTAATGCTACAGTTTGTCAAAAATGTATGATTTTTTTTTCATACTTGTGTGTAAAATAGCTTTTTTGTACATGGATATATTGTACATATTGCCCTTTTTGTACTGTGGTTTGGTCTGAAAGTATCACTGTATTGCTTTGCTCTGTTTGTCCCATTTCGCTTTCCATTTGGAGCAACCAGCACATGTGGATTGTAATAAAAGTGCATTTACCAACTCTATTTTTAATCATTAATCACTACCATTATCCTCCTGAAACCCAGAAAGAAAAAGGTTTCAAATGTCCGTTTTTTTTTTAGATCACACAAGTCTTTAGAGTGGTATTAACATAACCTTGAAAAACTAAACAAATATATTTGTATTTTTGTTTTATTGTGTGTCCTCTGTAGAGGACATCAGGTGTTAGTTATGCGAAGCATAGTATACAAACAACATTAACATACACGTACATTTAGACAACCTTAGAGCACAACAACTCAATGCAACACATATTGAGCCCTCATTTGTAGTACTCCATCCTTTTTTGAAATGCAGAGATACATCTGACACTTGAGGCACTTGATGTATGTTTTCCCACTGCATCCGTCTGCCATGAACCCTACAGAAACCTAAGTGTTAGTTTTGGCCCATAGTGGACTCCATTTGTGTTGTGTAAAATGGGGGGAAATAAAAAGTTAGCAAATCCCCATGTCCTCCTCAGAGGACATTCATAAAAACATGTAGTTTTAGGTCAAATCATTATTACACTGCTCTGAAACTCACTACACTAACTCCTAAGATGTTCCCTTACTATAATTAATTAAAATATTGAACTCCCAACACTGGTAATTACAAAATTACAAACTTACCATTTCTCTTTCTATAAATAGTGCTTGTGTTGATGGACGCCATTTTGAAATACAATGAAATTATCTTTTTCAAAGCCACACCCCCACATATGTCACATGTCTGAAAAGCCCAGGATGTCCTCTGTGGAGTACAATTGGACTTAATGCTGTGGCATGTATAACCTCATAGTTATGGACCAAAACCAAATGTCCTCCACAGAGGACAAAAATGAATGGGTGGGTCTCAGAAGATATAGTCACTGCTAGAGTCAAGTGTCAGCGCTGTCATATAGAGATGATTAACTAATGTCTTTGCAGGAGTACTCCTCACTGTCTTTATGCATAAAACTGCTGATGCTATGCCAAATGTGTTGTTTATATCATTGTCACGGCCCCTAACAAGTATATTTTCCAACGGAGCAACAAAAAACATACTGCACTCTTTGAAGTTTTCATTTTCTTTATTTATTAGCTAATCATTTAGGTGAGTTACATGCTCAAAAGTTGTGAAGGCTGAGTTGTCACAGTGCAACTCTTTTTTTAAACCTCCAAAACTCACAGGACAGAATATTACAGTTTGATGATGCAGAAGATAATTTAAAAAAAAGTGAAAACTATGCTATACAATGGTCTTAGTATAAAAGGCTTCTTACCTTCTATGTTTGTGTGTCAACTTTTTGGATGTTATGACAAGTTATCTTGTTAAAATAAAAGTCAGAGGCACAAGGCAGGATATTTCATGACGATGCCACTAGCAGTAGGTCAGTGGGACACTCAATGCACAAGGTCTCTCTTTCTCTCGCTGACACTCATTCACAAACAACGATGACAGTGCCAATAAAAAATGTAAACCCTCCAGGTTCACCCAAGTCTTCCTAGAAGAGAGTGTCTTGGCCAGGACTCTCTTGAAAAAGAGATTCCTTATCTCAATGAGACCTTTCTGGTTAAATAAAAATAAATTGTAAACGTGTCAGAAACGTTTATTTATTTTATTTGATTTTATAATAAATGTTGATTTCCTAATATTAGTTTTATTTTTTTCTTAATCAAAAACAACTTTATAATATTGAATCAAAACATAAATAACAAACATAGAAAACAAATACCTAAATCTGGTTTTGTACTGTAGGTAAGCTCCAATACAATTAATTGATGTGCCATGTGTATGTTGAAATCTAAATGTGCTGTAAACTGTGTGTGAAAGGAAGGGTTGTGTGTGTCGGGGCAATGTAGAATGGCTGCAGGGTTGAAACAGTGACAGTTAATGGGCAAATGGATGTGACAAATGTGACCTTTGACCTCCAGCGGCTGGCTGGAAATGAACACGGGCTTCCTGTCACCACCCTGGTCAGGAGGAAATGTAGGGAATAAGACACACACACACACGCACACACACACACACACACACACACACACACACACACACACACACACACACACACACACACACACACACACACACACACACACACACACACACACACACACACCACATATGCGTACACTACTGTTGAACCGTCTCTACACCTGCTGTACTCATGGACAGATTAGGATGGAGATACATATGGAGAAATATCTATCATAGCTGCCTACTGCTCCTAATACAGTACTACTTAACAATGTGTGTCCAGAACATCACAGATTGTGTCAACTATAAACAGAGTATTTATGCCTGTCTCTTTCCTTGACTCTCCTGACAGCCAATGGTGAGAGAACGACTATAAGGTCATTTTGGGTTTAAGCAATCATTCAATTGTCATTGGGGATGAAAAATCCAACCTTCATACAAGGCTGATTGCATATGAAATAGACTGTTGGAATTACATGCTGCATTGTGGGAGCAGAGTCCTTCATTATAATTCAGGACTGAGTATTTGTCCCAAAAATAGAGATTTGTGGTGAGGTCATTGACTATAACTCAAGGCAATTTACCTGATTATACCAGGAGAATCTCAAACGTTTCCTGTCTTACAGGGACACCTTGTGGCCACAGCAGGTACACACACTTTAAAACCAATGACAGTTAGAATAGAATGAAGGTAAAGGCTGTATTCATTTTCATTTTCTGATATGGTCATCAAATATCAGATCCATAAATTACACATGGCCATGTTATGTCAAATGACATCCAAAGTCGAGAATAATCTTTGGTATTCTTTTTTAAAGCTTATTTTATCCTTAATAACTTTTTAAGTGCAATGGTGCGGGTCCTAAAAACTAAAGAGCATCTATTTACTTTTAGGAATCATACCTTATACAATATATACTGCATATAAATACAAGCCTGTTTTGAACAGTGTTGGAAGAGGTATAATGATATTTTAAGCAAAAGTAGCTACAGTATTACAAGTCCTGCATTCAAACTTTTACTTATACAAAAGTATTAACAGAATACCAAAAGTAAAAGTAGCCTATCTGTTATGAAGACCCATTTCAGAATCATACATATTATTTGACTGATCTATTAATATGTAGCCTACTACTACTTTATCCTAATATATTATTTTATCTACATACATCTGCAGAGTAACTTGTTACTGAAGCTAAAAGTAGGTGGGGTAAAAAGTACAACATTTGCCCCCTTCATGTAGTAGAAGCATAAAGTAAAATACAATTAAATACTCATGTAAATATGTAAATCTGTTACTGTAAAGCAGCCAACAAGTGTCTTAAAAATATATTTAGGCGTAACAAAACTAAACGTATAGCTACCTAGTTACTTTCCACCACTGATTATGACATCAAGTTAAAAGTGAAACAATTTAATAAAATGTTAATAATCTTAACAAACAATCAAATCAAATAAATCAAATCAAAAGCATTATGGTCACCACCATGGATACCATTATTTAACCACCTCAGGAGTATTTATTGTGGCTCACTCGCTATTGAGTGACTGCAGCGCCCCCTCAGGCTGAGATCGGTACTGCACCGAGCGGCAGCGCTAGTTAGAAGAAGGAGGCGTGTGACAGAAGCACACGGCTAACAGCGAAAACAACCCAAGTGTGTGTGAGTGGTCCCTTAAACAGGTAAACCGACACTTTTGAAACGGGTTTGCAAGTTCCGTGTAGCTGTATTTCATGTTTTGTTGTCAAAGAGACTGCGTTATATGCGTTTTCTTAACGTCTATGCAAACTAGCTAAGCTAAGCTAAGATAGGCTAGCTGTGATGCTAACTGGCTAACAGCGGCACAGCGTTATAAGGCCCGGAGCTGCATGCGCAATCAGGCCATGTTTGCTAACAAACTGCTCCATAACTTTGAAAACCTTGCCTTTTCGTCTTATTCGAACTTAACGTGATATGAATGGTGCGTTTGTATCATAATTAAATTGTGTTTACAATGCGACGGTGCTGTGGTAAAATGTGTTTGAGAACGATAATGTATACAGAAGTTAGCCAGGTTAGCACTTTGGCTGCAGACGCTTCATCTGCTATTGTAACGCGAGTCAATCAACAACAAACCCAAATAATGCATGTGATAAAAGTCAGAGGCCATTAGCTCGAAATCAAAGCTCACAATAACACGGTTGTGTTATTTGATCATTGCATCAGCTGCAGTTGATATTATGTAGTCAATAAGTCTGTGAAATGTATTGTAAATATTAGAAAACATTGACATAGAAGTCTTAGTTGTTATAGTATATCAGAAAAATGTCCACAGGTTTGCACAAAAGGTGCTCAATGATCCACACAATTAACATAACATAATATTTATGTTAATTAACATGAAATTAATGCAAGTAAAATATTAAGACAGTTTTCAATATGAAAAAACACCACAAAATGTGTGTGTGTGTATATATGTATATATGTATATGTGTATATGTGTATATATATATATATATATATATATATATATATATTCATTCATATTTTGTCTTATGTTTTATTATTTTTGCATTAACCAAAAGTACTGTAAACGACAGTAGGGAGTTTTGTTTAAAGTATTTTTTATCAAATAAATGCTGTGGGAGCCAGACATTATGTTCTTCCAGTGTTGACCTACATTTCCTAAAGCACTTGTGTTCTTTCTTTCTCCTCTCTCCTGTGTTTCTTCCCTGTTTGCCTCTACAGCAACCGTGCCCCGCCGCGCCCCCACCCCCAGCGGAGCCGTCATGTGGCAAGAGGCCCGCAAACATGAGCGCAAGCTCCGTGGCATGATGGTAGATTACAAACGCCGAGGAGAGCGACGGCGAGAGTACTACGAGAAGATAGTAAGAGACTCCTATCATGATCACTCCTCATTATTATTTTTGGTCCACCTTGATATTGTCTTACCTGCCCAGTGCCCAATATTAATGTGGTCAATGTACTCACTGCTCATACTCCGCTAAAGTCAAACCAACGCACAAGGAAGAAATGTAAAATCCAATAGTTTATAAACTGCACTCACGTTAACTACATGTGAATATGTCCCTGCAGTCATCTGTGTAGCAACCCTAGTTGTGACACCTTATTAAAAGCTCCTATTTGAATTGCTTGCTCCAGATCTCGACTTCCCTGATCCTGCCTCAGTTGTTTAGTCTGTTGAGGCAAGGGTTTGAGCTTTAGGTTGGCTGATGCGTTGGCTGAGACTCCTCCACATCCGGTTCAATTTCAATTTCTGCCACTTGGTTTTTTGTTATAGCTTTCTTAATAGAGCCTATATAGTTCTTAGATGACAGATTAATACAATTAACTCTCTTGAAACACCATTTTGAAAAATGTAGAAAAGGTTATGCAGCTGAGTTTGGGCTCTCCTTAAACAAAAATAACAGGACATAAAGGGCTATGCCGTACATAACATCATTATCTGGTTAGTTATTTTATTTAGTTGGTTATAAGTAGGGATGCTCCGATCGATCGGCCGCCGATCGCTATCGGCCGATATTCTCTGTGCGCGGCAAAACAAGCTCGCCAAAATGGCTTCACCAGTCTGGCAGTTTTTTAAGGTGTCCGAAAATAACAATAAAATAGCGGTATGCAACGTGTGTGTGAAGCAGGAATCCTGCAGCTCCACCCGCTGTGACGGACCGGTGAGCGGAGCAAAACACACACTAAGAGTTAGACCTAACACACTTAGCTATTTTATCTACCTCTGGAACAAGCTAAACTAGTTATAAATATATTTATTCTTCACTGTCGGGTCACTTATTACTGGATCAGTGAGCTGCATGAGACGGATACTGACAGGCTGTCAGGAGAGAGAGGAAAAGAGAGCGCTTCCGCTCATTTCTCCCATGTTATTATCCAAAGTTAATGTAAACTTGAATAATAACTTCATTTGAATGTAATAATTATGTTGGTTGTTGTTTGTGGAAGCACCAGTGAATGAGCCCCATTAACTGAGTTTTAAACATCACTTTAAATAGAAGATCCCCATAGGCCCCGCCCACTCGATCGGATCGGCCCCAAAATTGGCGATCGGAGCATCCCTAGTTATAAGTTATATATTACATTTGATTGTCTTTTGACTGTGTCTCGTTTTGTCTCAACAGAAAAAAGATCCAGCTCAGTTTCTTCAGGTTCATGGCCGAGCGTACAAGATTCATCTGGATCCTGCTGTGGCCACGGCTGCAGAGAGCCCCATCAACATGTGAGGAAACGCACACACGCACGCACGCCCAGTTCTTTTGGGATGTTGCTGATCACATTATACCCCTTTCCATTGTTTGTTTCTTTAAGGATGCCATGGCAAGGAGATGCCAACAACATGATTGACAGGTTTGATGTAAGGGCTCACCTAGACTACATCCCTACATACACTCCTCCACTGCTCAGCACATCGTAAGTACCATTTGAGTCCAGACTCTGTCCGTTGTAAATATGTATGCGTTTTGGACATTTCAGGCTCTATATTAAAGTTGAATATAAGTCATGATGAATATTAGAAAATAACATAAACACATTTTTTTAGAGATCATGCTTAGCAATCTTTTTTTTTTTTAACAAAATGAACATGTTTAGCCGTTACAAAGTACAAATTACATTACAAATTAGCTCGAGTAGGTATAGAGCTAGGAAACAAAAATATATGCAGGACCTGGTTGTGCATCAGATGATTAATGTGAATTGATGTTTGGTAGGGCGCATTCAAAACATTTGGTGAAGTTTTTAATGTAAAGCAATAACAAAATGATTACTAATGAGGGAAATTGCTCTTCATTAGGGATCGACCGATATGGCTTTTTCAACGCCGATACCGATTATTAGTAATCAAGGAGACCGATAACTGATATTTGGAACCGATATACATTTGCAGTCAAATCAGAAAATCTTGGTGTCAAAATGTAGAATAACACAAACTCCAACACAACTTATTTGAAATGCATTTAAGCATATATTATGTTTAATGAACTTTTAAACATCTTACAACTGGTTTCCTCTCTGTGACCTTTTCTTTAGTGCAGCCATCTGCAATGAGTTAGAGAGAGACAGAGAGTTAAAAGTGGGGCTGCAGGCTGACATGCTTAACTAACAATAATGCTTAATTTATTATATCAAAACAATGCCTGTCTATCTAGCATAAAATCCCAATAAGCTGCTAGCAACTGCAAAACACTAGTGCTAGCTAATGTTTTGCAAAATATTAAAAGTGAGGCTATTACAGTAGACCTAACGTTAGTCTAGTAGCCTCACTTCTAATATTTTGCTAAACATTTGCTAGATACATGTTGGCTAGCTAATGAGCTTCACATATAAACCTGAAAAACTGCGAGGCTCTACTCGCAGCCCCCCCCCCCTCCGCACCACAGTTACTCTGCTGCGAGACGCTGCACGCACCCCCAACTCTGACTGACTTCCCGCGTCCCTGTGTAACTGGGAAACTGATAGAATTGGATCATTGTGCTTTTGCAACTTCAGCATAGGGGATTGGGATGTTTATTGAACTTCGGCTTTCAACTGACTTACCTTCGAAACACATGTATGGCTCTGCCGCTCAGCGCTGCTGCTTGCTTCAGTCTCTTGTGTCTGCGTTCTTTCGCACCTGCCTGTAATCTGAGAAGGTCCCGCCTCTCTGGCTGGCTCCCGCCCGGAAAATCTTCAGTGTTGATTGACACTTCAGTAATAGCCTATCAGATAGCGCTGTGGGCGGGACATTGCTCGTGTACACAGAGTGGTGACTGCAGCCAGAGAAACGGCCGCATCAGAGCCAAAGTTTTATCGGCAATTTGATTAAAAAAAAGGCAGATACAGATAATCGGTCAAATGCGGAATATCGGCCCCGATAATCGGCCAGGCCGATTATCTGGGCCGATATTCCGCATTTCCGCTCGACCCCTACTCTTCATGCAGTTGCAATACAAAGAGTGCAAATGTAAAAAGTCTTGAGATAGTTACAACAATAAGTGTAAATGTATATAATGCCAAAATTAGGTTTTAATGTGTGTTGCATTTGTGCAGTAATTTGAAAGTTGCTGTACTGTTAATACAGATTGAGAGGTCTGTCCTTGATATTGCATTTTATGTCCTATAATTGCACATTACATCTCATATGGCCTCATGGACACTTTGTCTCAAACAGGACCCCAGAGCAGGAGATGGAGGAGAGGAAGTGCAATTATGAGCGATACAGAGGCCTAGTGCAGAATGACTTTGCCAACAGTGAGTACTCAAAACCCCATAGCTGAGAAAAATGAATTTAATTTGACTAAAGCATTACATTTACATGTTGTTTCCTGTTGTAACACAGTTAAGCACCTGTTAATACATGTGTTCTTAATGTGCCTATAATGGTGTGTTAGCCTGCCCTCAGTGGGTATGTTTTTCCAGTTGTGTTCTCTCTTTAAGTCCCTGCTGTCCTCCTACAGTCTCTGAGGAGCAGTGTTTATACCAGATCTACCTGGATGAACTCTACGGTGGCCTGCAGAAACCAAATGAGGACGAGAAGAAAAAGTATGTAATTTTAATTGTAATATATAATGGTTGTTTCATCCCCACTGTCGATCAAAATGCATGATTCCTGGAGTTTCTTGGTTTGATAAATCCTTCCTCTCTTTGTGCAGACTGGCTGAAAAGAAAGCCACCATTGGTTACACGTATGAAGACAGCACTGTGATGGAGCCCGACCCCCAGTCAGACAAAGATGAGGATGATTCAGAAAACAGCGAATCGGAAGAGGATGAGGGCATCCCAGATATTGGTGAGGAAATGATTCTGGCATTAGTGAGATTTACACATCAGGAAACTTCGAATTTCAGAGACAAAAAACTGTTTTGCAGGATACACTACACCAATGTATAACAAACACTTTCAGTTTGCAAATCTTCCATTCTCTTAAAGAAAACAAAAACCCGTCTAAATACATATATATATATATATGTATAGAAAATGTAAGTTAAATCAAGCATGTAAACTTGCCTTGACGTTTTGCTGTGTTAAAAGCTTTCTTACATGTTATGTGTGTGTGTGTGTGTGTGTGTGTGTACAGATGTGGAGGTTGATGTGGACGAGCTGAACGAGGAACAGGTGTTGGACGTAAACAAAATGGCAACCCCATACGGGATGGCTGAAGGAGACTTTGTTAGGTAACATCTCAGAGATTATATCATCGTGCATCAAAGGTCACCTGTAGAGCAGAGTAAACATACAGGTTTGGAAGAGAACAACACCTACTCACTCTCTAAAGTGCTATAGTTTAGATTCCCTTGCTTCACAGTCTACAGAATAAATAGGAAAGGCAGTAGGGAGTGACCTTATCGGAAATGTCTTGGTAGAATTTGATTTATCCAATATGAACTCAAAAAGTGTATATTAAGAAAACCCTGAAACATAAACCAAGAATGACTTAATCCTAATGAATAACTGTTGACTTGAGGATCGTTCCTTGTTGTAACCCTGTTAACATGATGTCTGTTTATCAGGATGTTGAGGAAAGACAAGGAGGAAGTGGAGGCCATCAAACATGCCAAAGCTCTGGAGGCGGAGAAGGCCATGTACTCTGTAAGATAACATCCATTGAGGAATATGTGTGTGTATCATGCGAGTGGTAAATGAGACTTTATAAGTTACATGTTTAATCATTTCAGGGCCGGCGTTCCCGCAGACAAAGGAGAGAGTTCAGAGAGAAGAGACTAAAAGGAAGACAGATCAGCCCACCAAGGTAAATATATTAGATCTTCGATAAGATTATTCCTCTATCTGTACGACTACCTGAAAACACGTTTAACTCATGTCCTCATTCTTGTGTATTTCAGCTATGCCAGGAGAGACAGCCCAACATACGATCCCTATAAACGGTCAGTATTTTGCAAGGATGCATGACATGGATTTCTCAGTCTATACCCCTGACGGATAATTAGCTGCTCATTTCTGAATGTCGATAAGATAACCGATAACTTTTCAAAAAGAAGTTAATAACCTGTAGTTTATACACACCTGAAGGTGAGGAAGGCTGGAGGATTTCATATTTACTAGCTCTGACTTACAACTGATGTTCCTATTGTTAAAACGAGAAAACAAAGAAGAGTTCTGTCTTTTCAACTTTTCATAAAGAAATGTTCATGTATTATGAAACTTATTATTGCAAATCGTGCTGTCTTCCTCTGGAAATGAAAAGCGACAACATGTTTGTTTCTCGTGTCAGCGTGCTGCGCGTGTTCCTCATTTTCTTATTCTCCATTTTGTTTACTGGCGGATTACAAACCTTCTGTTTCTGAGTGTGTAGAGACTGCACTCGAGTAAATAAAATGAATTGGAATACTTTGCCTGATTTATTGGGTGTTCGTGTATATTTTAACGTTTTTTTCTGATCAGGCCAGAGATGGAGTCCAGCTCAGAGTCGCGGTCACGCTCTCGTTCTCCCGGTCCGGAGAAGATCACCTTCATCACCAGCTACGGAGGCAGCGATGATGAAGCAGTAGCGGCGGCAGCGGCGGCGGCGGCAGCAGCAACAGCAGCGGCAGCAGCTGCAGCAGCAACACAATCAGCTGCTCCCCACTCTGGACACGCTCCCTCCAGCTTGCAGCACCCTGCAGGTCATAGCAGGGGCTCCCGGTCGGTAACTTTCCGTCTTTCTGGCTTTCCATTAGTTGCAGTCTAAATTGTTGTTGAAATTACCCCAGAAAGAATACTCACGATGAAATACTGTTGTTGTGGTGGTAGGTGAGGTGGATCAGTTTTAAACAAGTCGATAACAAATGAACCTATTCTGCATGTGCTTAGGAAACCTGTGTCTGGTTTTAAGAGTTCACATACATTATGTTAGATTGTGCATGTCAGATTATGGCAGCGTATATATAAACGTTTTGCTTATTTCATCCTCTCCACAAAGTCGAGCATGTGATGATTTCTTTAAAACAAGAAACCAGAGTTATTCTGAAGAAGGCTAGGTCCTGGGCTGGTGTTGATACTGAAACCCTGTGTCTCTGTTTGTCCAGGAGAAGAAGGTCATCCTCCAGTCGCTCCCCCTCCTCCTCCTCCCGCTCCTCATCGCGATCCTCCTCCCGCTCTTCTTCCCGTTCCCGCCGCGGTCGACGTGGGCGCGGCGGGAGGGACGGGCGGCGGTCCCGGAGCGATGGGCGGCGATCCCGGAGCCGATCGCGGTCGAGGCGGCGTTCCAGATCTCACTCACGAGGCAGAGCAGGGAACGGAGGGGCCGCGTCCTGGAAGAGGCGGGACCGGACACGATCACGGTCCAACGACAGAGAGCGAGGGAGGGACCGGGACCGGGACAGGAAACGGTACTCGGCACGCAGGCGGACAAAGTGAGACTCCACAACGTCTCCCAACAGTGTTTAAGTTATAGTTATACCTATCGAGGTGACTCAAGCTCTGCTGTTTTTTTCTGTCAGGTCCCGTTCCAGCTCACGGCAGGGGGGCAGCTCGAGGCGAGGGGGGCGGAGCAGTGGGGGTCATCGGAGGGCCGACAGCGGCAGCAAAAGCCCCTCCCGGTCCCCCAGTCGCTCCAACCGCACTCCCTCCCCTCACAGAGGAGCCCCGCCCTCTTCCAACACCATCTGTGACAAGCTAAGAAAGTAAGGACACCATGTAGCAGAGACTAACGAAACAATGACACGGTTTACATGCACAATAACATTTCATTTTATTAGGATACAGTTGTCTGAAGCCCATGTAGCATTTTCTGATGCAATAGGCCAATGTTATCCAAGTTTTAGGAGCATTCTTTGGAAACATAGAAAGCTATTGGGGGCTTTACCGCAGTTTGCAACACAACCCATTCATCCTGTTTTTAGAGTTAGCTCCTGCATTTGTTGTACACAAACCAATCAAACAAGTTGTAGGCTGGTGTTGAGCTGGAGGCCTAAAAAAACAAAACGCCCTCATTTTGCAACACTCTGAAAGACTTGGATAACCCCGCAGACCTTTTTTATAAAGTTGACTGCTTAAAGTAATGAAAGAGGGAAGCTGTGTGTTTCAAACTTCTTTCATTGGCTTGTTACAATAATCAGAATAAGAATGGCCTTGCATCTAAATGGAAATATTAGTGGAGTAGAAGTTCATATAAACAGCTAGTTGCAATATTGTCTTTTTCATAATAGGAACTGAATATTTTGTTTATGTAAATGCCTAAGGATTTCAGTTGAACTCAAAAATGTAATAGTTCCTTTTACTGCAAGGGAGCAGCGTCTCCGAGTGATTGGGTATGTCTTCAATTCATAAGGTTAATAAACATTTAACTGTTACATGCATTTGGGCATAACATGGGTTCTTGTGAATAGCCATTTGGCACCCAAGTGTTATAAAGCCATACGAATCATTTATGAATGTTTTTGTAACCAATTTATTCCTTGGCATGAGGAAGGAACAGTGTGTTTTTTTTTTTTATGATCAAGATATCCTTATCCCATCGCCTCATCACCCATCTCACTGTTGTTTCCCTGTTGTTTCTGTTTACAGGCCTGATACTCCGGGTGGTAAAGAGACGGGAGCTGCCAAAGTCAGTAAGAATTTGACCTAGCTGCGTTTCTTGCTAAAGCCTACGCCTCCCTCATCCCTGACAGGCTGACTTGGTTTTCCACCAGGCTGGGATGTAGAAGCCATTGTTGCCCAAAGAAAAGAAAATAATAATGTGATTTCCCTCCCCCCCCTACAAAGTGGACATGCTCTGCAGTTAAAGCCTACCAACTATTTAGCAAATTACCGTATTGGTCACCTTAAGTGTTTTGCTGAGAACACTAGAGAAAAGACTGAATGCTGTTATCTCTGTATGGAGTGAACATTTCAGCGCCCTGTGAAGTCCTCACTGTGATTTCAGTGTGTGTGCATATATACATGTGGGTGAGAGTCTATATCTGTGTGTAGTCTCATACGCAGCAGCAGGTCACACATGAACCGCCCTAAGGGAAAGAAGATGATTACTTTTTGTATCTTATTGGCCAAGTGATCATTTAATAGTGACTGAAGTTGTTTGATTTATCCCTGATGGAGAAACCTGATGGGAGTGCTCTGGACAGAAGTTTCTTTAGGCTTGTTTTAACAAGCAGAGAACGCTCTTACTCCTAAATTGAAATGCTGTACGTCCCACACACACATTGCAGTCTTGAGATGAGAGTTCAAAGGAATGGTTTTTGGGAAGTACACTCATTTCCTGTCCTGCAGAGTTGGACGAGAACATTGATTCGCTCATTCAACACAATTATGTGTTGACACGTGAGCTTAAGGTGCTAGTATGCTACTGTTTACAGTCTTTATGCTGAGCTAAACTACTTGTGGTAGCTTTATAATCTACTTGCAGGCATGTGAGTGTTATCAATCTTCTCATGCGACTCTGGACAATAAAGGAAATGTGTGTATTTCCCAAAAATATCAAACTAGTCCTTTAAAACTTAACAGCATATTTATTTGTTATCATTCTGAACCAGCTTCTCTTCTTTCTTGGCAAAGAAGAAAATATTTGAATATTCTCTCCGCAGACAAACAGAGGGGAGGTTATTATCTTTTCCCTGCACTGTTGTGACCTGCAGTCTCTTGCCTGGCCAGGTTTAAACGGCCCAGCGATGGGTGTGTCAGTTACAAAATGCCACCGGCTGTTGCTGATGTTTCCAAACTCACCGGACCTGAACTTGTTACACTCTCTGACCCTCTGTCCTCCTTCTCACGCACCCTTCACCTTCTTACAGTGTTCGTACATATACAAGTGTAAAGATTCATGTTACTGGAGCCTGTCCTGCTGCTAAAATATCCAACTGCTGAAGTGTACTTCTGTCCACACACACACACACACACACACACTCTCTCTCTGTCTGTTCAGCCTTAGAAATTCAAGTGTGATTGACTTGACAAACATCACTCATCATTTGTCTGCTACCTTTTTTTTTTTTCTTCTCATGGCTACTGTACATAAATGTGTTAGTTCTGAAATTGTATAACAGCACAGTGCCTTTGATCTCCTTCACACACACACACACACACACACTTGTGCACAAATACACACACAGACTCACGCTTTTGTCAGACTGAAAGCATGTGCTAACACAATTGTGTCACCTGCAGAACAAGATGACCCCACAGGAGAAGCTGAAGATCAAAATGCAGAAGGCGCTCAACAGGCAGTGTGAGTATATACTGTGTTTTCGCTTTGTACACAAATCTACTCAAATGTCCATGTTTGTCAGAAATGCACACTTGCAATATTATTGGCCAATTCAGTTTCTTTTTTTTCTTTTTTTTAATCTGTGCTACTGATTTTGGTCGATTCCAATAATTTTTTCAAATAACTATATTTGACAGTAAACACAAATTCTATTGTGTGTCAAAATAAAACATGGACTATTTAAGAAAACGGGTGAGGAACTGAAGATCTTCTACAAGGATAATATGTTGTGTGTGTGTGCAACGTAATTGTCTGCCGTTGTTTGAGCATAAATCAACGTAACATAAAACTATCATTCGGCGCGTGGGTAGTTTCACTGGCATAAATCTGTTAGTAAGAAACTGATCGACTGGTCAGAGGCCAGGGTAAATCCTCTGACCATCGTACAGCCTCGACAGGTGGCCGATCCTTCAGTGTATCTGTTGTACAATTTGTCACGTTATGAAAATAACAAATGTATTTTTCGCTCCTTTTAAACATCCTGTATTTTCCTTCTCCTGCAGCCAAGGCGGATAAAAGAGCGGCGCAGGTGAAGGTCCAGCAGCAGGAAAGCAAACGACAGGTGTGTGTGTTTGTGTGTTAGTCTTTAGGCTGAAACACACTCTGTTATCCTGCGTCTCTCCTCATGGCTGTGTTTTTTTCTGCAGGAGCGAGAGGGAGAGCTACGAGCCATGGCACGCAAGATACGCATGAAGTAAGAACCTGTGTGAGTGTGTGAGCGGGCGGTTTGGTATGTGTATGTTGCAACTGTCTGACCCAGAGGCTCTGTGTTCAGGGAGCGAGAGAGACGTGAGAAGGAGAGGGACGAATGGGAGAGACAGTACGGGCGTCAGAGCCACTCGCCTTCCCCTTCCAAACATGGTGAGACACAAACAGCCATATGTATGTATGTATGTATGTATGTATAATCATTTTGGTTTAGTGCCTTGTTTATAGAAGAAACGATCAGCTAAGCCTCTGTCGGATTTCCTGCCGTCAGTTTCTGCTCTGACAATTTTATGGGTTGTAATACGTTCTGCCATGCGTTGTTTTCACGGTGTCTTGTCCTCTGTCCCTGCAGGCCGAGAGCACAGCTCACACAGAAGGTATGCGAGAAGCCGCAGCAATCCCAACAGCTCCGATGAAGCAGAATGAATTATGGGAGTCTTTCACGTTAATGCACATTCACTTATCCCAAGGCTCATCACCGTGCCTTTTTATATGCAACACTAATGCTACTTGGCTTTTTCTTCACTCAGATCAAATCAGTGTGTAAGGTGTTAAGAGAGAAACCGGAGCAATACTTCAGTACAAGTGAATTCCTGAGTCAAAGAAAATACCTCAAATGATTCACTGCAATTCATTTCACCCTTCATCAGAACTTCAGCTCATTCCTTAGTATTATTTTATGAGTCACATTAAGATGTGTCAGTTTCAAGGAAGACCTCACGTAGACCGGACTCAATGTTAAAGTTTTAAACAATCTGAAAAAAAATGTCATTTTAGAATTTAAACATTCTTAAAGAATCCCTAAACTTATTTTAAATGTTTAGTAAAATAAAAAATATAATTTTGACTTAAACAGAAATTGTCTAAGTAGTGCATTGTAATTCTGACTACTTCAGTCAATCTTAATTTCATTAAAGCCACAATATCTGGATCTTCACAACTGAAGCGATCCCCAACCAGGTTCAGTTTCCAAACCGACCCGTTTTTATTCTCCGTAACACCAAGCAAGTCAGTCTAAATGATTGATGTTTATTGACGCTGCTAAAGGCTTTTTTACATCAGCAACGTTTGTCTTTATATTAGATTATGATCAGTTGATTTTAAAAAATGCTTCTTTTTGAAACTTTAAGCTTATATTGAAGACTTTTTTTTTTTTTTTTCATTTAATTGTTTATTTGAAGAAGGACAGTGCACATTGATGAACATTTAAAACAAATAATGCTTTAAAAACGTAAACATGCCGGATTTTAGCTTTGAGCTAGTTTCCATCCGTAGTCCCTCACATACAACATTTAAGAACATGACATTTATATACATAGCAAAATAAATACATGATATGCAGAAAGAGCATGAGCAGCATATAAGCATTTACCACATGGCAGTACAATGTAGCAGCTACGAAATATCAAGTGCAGGAGAAGATAAAAGGGCTACATCAAGTGCAAGAGGAGATGCCCGTGTTGAAGTGCATCTAGCGGTGATTGCACGTTTGTTTGTTTCTCAACCATTCTTTTAGTTGACCTTTAAAACTGTTCAAAGTGGGACAATCCCGTAACTCAGTTGGGAGGCTATTCCACAAAGAGCTGCCCTTAATTGATAGAACATTTTTGACAGAATGTGGTCCGTCTACGGTGGACTTCAGTCTCCTCTGGTTTCTGACCTAGTGCAGCGTCCAGTGGGCAGTCCATGTAAACATTTATAAATAAAACACATACTTTTAAAAGACTTAAAATTGTCAAAACTCAAGAAATGGTGTTTATCAAGGATGGTACAATAAGACTTTTAGGACAAGAAATATACACTTACACATTTCTGAATGATGTTAGTCAGATTGAGCTTCTCTCACTTTTGTACTTATTGTTATTTTATCTTTTTACAGGAGGTCTCGGTCCCAGTCACGAAGTCCACCCTACGGATACTGAGCGGAGGGAACATGGACGCCTCCTACAGTCCCTTCAGTACACAGCCATGTACACTTATTCTAACAAACGGCCAACAAATGTGAAAAGATGGAGTGATCATGATACCAACCTTTACTTGAACACTCTGTCCTCTGGTATGTGTCCACAGATATAATATTTGGACTGTGATAGCTTTTACTTTCAGTTATCAAAGCCAATAGGTTCAGCGGAGCGAAGTTTGATCTGCCCTTTTCATTTTTGATTCAACTTGTAAAAAGTCTTCAGCTTTAATAAATTAGTTTCTTCTTCTGCATGCTCCTTTGTTCTTTCTCTGCCTGAACAGTTCTCAACTCGTCTGGAGTTGTTAATTTGTATTTCAATGTACATAATAAGCAACATCTCACCTTTTCACCTCACATCGTCTCCATGTCAGCCTTTCTTTTTATTTCTCTGACGAGCTCACACTACAGAACATTTTAACAACCTCTCAAGAGCCGATGTACAGGATATTTATACTTATCCATTTAAAACTTCTTTATTAAAGGAAACAAACTCCCTGTATAAATTCAAACTTTATCCAGCGCTCCTTTTATACTCTGTCCTCTGCTAACCGGTTTACAGCAGCATATAGCCTTTTGGTTTTCAGCTAAATGGAATGTAAAATATGGAACAATAAATAAAACTCACTTTGAAACTATTTGTTCATTTCCCTTTTTTTCCTATTCAAAATCTTTGTGTTCTTTTGTAAAGCTTGTACCGAAAGAAATAATATATTTTTAGGATTGGTAAGTTATTTTGGTTTTGTATACCTTATATATTTTAGCATACTTTGCTCAATACATTTGTTGAACAACAAGCAGCTAATATCTTATTTGTATCCACTGTCCCCAGGTTGGGGCTACTAGTGATGCGCAGCTAACGGATAATATCAGTTATGTGAATGAAAGCCTTACACTTTGTGACAAATACAGAGAACCCTAGTAAAAAAAACACTTCGAAACAAACAAAATAGGACTAATAAAAGACTCACTAGAAAGCACGACATTAAAAGCAGACAGTTCATCACTTTCTCAGTTTATTCCCATCAGTAGGTGGCGACAAATCTCAGTCTCTCAGCGAAAGATGCTTCACTGCTTCTTCTCACTGTCCATCTGTAATACTCAATTCAAGGCATTTTGTGACACTTTGCTGTGATTTTACGGCTGTAAAACTGTCACAACAAGAAAAAGAGAAATGAGAGCTCTTATAGCACTAGTTTGGTAATTGAGACACCTGTGGGAAACCAAACCAGGTAGTTCCTCTGAGCAGCTGTGGAGGAACTACATGTGAATTCCCACTATCTATCGGATGTGAAAACCTTGATTGAAACAAAAACAGTGCGTAAAAGAGAACAAGCCTTAAAGTGAAAGAAGGAGTGTGTTACCCGAGGAGGGCGGGGTCAGGGTCGCGGGGCGGGCGGTGCTACAGTCCGCCTGCTGCGGGGAAGACGCGTGAACTTGAACGCAGCCTTCAGTGCGATCTGAAGCAGAGGCCAGCCGGTGTCTCAGTGTCTGTCCCCCCGGTCGGGATTCGGTCAACTTATCGAAGCAGGCGGATCTTTGCTTTGGAGGGTTTGTGGTTCGGGAAGGTGCCAAACGCCAAACGCGATGTCCAGGCGCAAACTTGGGAGCAGACCGCAGCACCTGACTGCAATCCAAGGTAAGCAGCGGTGTGTGGGTAACTGCTCACAGGCGGATGTTATGTTGTTTTAAGGTTAAATTAAAAATAAACTCAGCTCACAGGTTAGTTTCATTTGGTTTACGCGCATGGTTTTAAATCCGCGCTGTTTATCATTGAATGGATCTTATTTATTTAATCTAGAAACTAAAAAACATCCATGACGGGGTTAAAGTATATTTGTGTACACATTGACCTCAATCAAGCCTATGTGGGTGTATTTTAATCTCCTTTTAACTAAATATTTAAATAAGGGCTCATCTTTTCTTGTGATGTTTGTCCTCATGTGTACTGTTGCTGCAGTCTTGCTCATAGAGGAAGGACCGGTTTATTGGCACGCTGTTTTCAGCAGAGGCTACAGGTCCGAACACGATGATTAATATCTCAGGTTAGACCATGATCAAGTTTCTCGGTCGGTCTCTGTTGGCTTCTGTGGAGCAGTTTCCCTCCACTGACTCTTAACCTGTTCAAATCCTGGATTCATGCTGCTTTATTCTATATTTTAATATATAGAAATATATAGAAAATTAAAATAATGTTTTAAATAAAACTACTATATAATAGATCAAATTCAGACTTTGTAAACCTAAAGAGAACAGTGGAGCTCCAAAAGAAACATGTGATGCTTGAAGGGAAATAAGAGAGAAACTTGGACACCATTTGTTTTTTACAGTTGGAGGCCAGTGGTGCGTGTCTACTGTGACCACAGGCCCTGTCTCAACTCTGTCTAATGTGTGTGTGTGTGTGTGTGTGTGTGTGTGACCGCGCCTTGCAAGTCTGCACAAACATCGCAGCCCTGAAACAGGAAAGGTGACATTTTTGACTAACAACTGGCGAGATCCGACTTCAGACTGTACTGTCTGTACCTGTCCTGTATGTTTGCCGGCCTCGCGGGGGCAGGTGGATCCAGTTGAGGCATCAAGGTGTGCCCTTGACCGCATTGAGTAACACTGAACCCTCCCACTGCTTTAACTTATACACCTGTCTGCAGACTGGAAGCATTTCTAAGTGCTGCCTCTATCTGATTGATATTCATCAGATTGTTGAATCAGATGAGCTGTTATGTCCTATATGTTTCTGAGCACACACAGGGGCTGCTCTTATCTCAAACACCTTCAGTCGTTTTTTGTTTTTTTTATTGCAATCCACTTCCTGTTGAGAAACTCCCGCTGTCTGTTGCTGGCAGGGCAAGTTATGTTTGTGACACAAAGGTGAAAGCTTTGGTCATAATGTTGTGTCTTTAAATCCATAACCTCACTTGTGAGCACATGAAGACTGTCACATTAATCTGAAGTGGATGCTTCTGCTGAGATGGGCAGCTCGGCTCCTCTCTGCAGCAGTGAGAGCGAGCGGATCTGTTTTGGGTTGGTTAAAGGAAGTGGTCAGTGTTGGCTGAGCAGATTGTCCTCAATTTGGAGCTTACAACTGAAACTAGCACTTGCAATCACCACGCCTGTTAGTTTACTGAGGTATAACAGAGCTTTTTCTTATTTGGGTTGTTCATTTGTAAGAGCATGGCCAGAAGCTCCTTAGAAGAAATCCCAATAAATATCACACTTTTGTTGAAGTTAATGTGGATCTTTTTCGTATGGGTTTGTAAATGTTAATTTTTTATGTAGAGAAAGTGGGAGAATAATGTCAAAGATTTGGTTTGGTATGGATTGAGCCCTCTGCATTTAAGTGATATGGCTAAAAGAAAGGTGATGTGTGTAAGTGTTTTCTTTCAAGACTGCGAGTAAAATGCTTCATAGCAACCACTCGTTTGTGGACACCACCAACTGTACACTGCATGGAAATGATGAATTACACCCATGGACTATAGATAGACAAGGGTGAAAAACACTGAATGAAGAGAGTGTTGCAATAAATATACAGATTATATTTCAGATTAACCATTTGTTCTGTTAAATATCAGAGTGGAAAAGGCCAGCAAGACCAAGTTGATATTAAATGTCTTGTTTTGTCCAACAAAAAGTACAAAATCCAATGAGAATTCAAAAACCAAAATTCCATTCACAGCTAAAACTTTTGCTTGAAATCTAAACAATGAAAAATGATGTCCACACTAAAGGGAAAGTGTTGAAATGCCTGTACTGGTCATGTTTGGCTCTGTTTAAAGTAATTAAATACATCTTATCTCTGTTGTTAATTGAACTTTCTCTTGTGTTTCTCAGATGTCACTGATATGGCGGATAGTGTCCCTCCATCAGACGTCCAGCCTCCTCTTCCTCCTCCTCCTCCTCCACCTCCTCTTCCTCCTCCACAGGTCGGAGCTCCTGGTGAAGGTCGTGACCTCCTGACCTGCGGACAGTGCAGTCGGGCCTTCCCCCTCGCCCACATCCTGGCGTTCATCCAGCACAAACAGGGCGGCTGCCGTTCCCAAAGCCAAGGCCCACACGCCAACGCCACGCCCCCCTCACCTGCCAACCGAGCGCAGCACCGCGGGGCCAACGCCGAGCTGGGGCCCGGCTACATCGAGCTGAGGAGAGGCGGGGGGGCCTGGGGGGAGGAGCCCGGCGTGAGGGTGAAGGCGGAGCACAGCAAAGCAGGTGAGCGTTCATGTTGAAGCACAACGAGAAGGCAGGTTGCTAATTAGTGACTCTGTTTTTTGTTTTGTTGTATATTTTTTTTCTTCAGCTACCCTCCTCTGCATTTAACAACTGTTCCCCCCCCGAGTCCAGCTCATTAGCTAGCCGTTGCCATTAGCAGACCTGCCTGAGTTAGTGACGCACAGGCTAATTGTGTGGAAAGGATAGGCGTCAGGAGCGTTCAGAGGGCACCCAGGGTCCCCGAGGGCCCCACACGGAGCACCTGAGCTCCTCCTCATCTCCCTGACTGTCAGTCTCTGAGGTGGAGTGGCCAGGTAAACATGTTTCCCTCTGTCCTGCGCTACACCCTGGACAACAGAGACTGACACAAAATCCTCCAGCACAGGAGCACAATTCACTGATTTATGGCCACCGTGTTTCTCCTAGAAAGGCAGATGATGGTTGTAGTCGTGTGCCACAAGATGAAATGGTCAGAGCAGCGGATGCAAGTTTTTTTTTTTGCAGCTCTCCTCGCTGTCATGACACTATAATGAAGGACGTTGCATCATGTGCAACTCCTCTGCCATCTCCCTCTCTTCTACCCCGGGCCGAGCCACCTGAGCTCCTGGGAATCTCCTCCTTCCTGCTCCTTTTTCTTCATCTTACGCATCTTTTTCTCTTTCTTCTTCCCATGTTGTCGTTACCATCCTTCTCTTGTAGTTCTATGTATCAGACATCTGCAGATCTTTTTCTAAAGGTATTCTTTTCACACGTATTCTGCTGCTGTTCCTCCGAGAGAAGAAGAGTGCGGTCACTGTGATGGTCATGCCAAATATGTCACGGTGGAAGTCAATCAGCAAATCATGAATTCTAAATTATAATCCTTTTGAATATCACATCTGATGGCTAACTGCTGTGTTTGATATGGAGGATAGTAGTTTTTTCCTGCTCAGGTCAGATCCATTTCAGTTTACCGTTGTATCTCTGAAGTGAAATAGGGGCGTATGCAGGATGTTGTAAAAGTCTGCAGATGGACAGCGTGTCTTGCAGCACGCTCAGGGTAGATATGAGTGCCCCATTGCACATTTTGAAACCCTCTCTGTCATGTAGACACACGTTTGCAGTTCCTTCCTTTGTGTAACGCTCAGGGGACTGGTGCACGCACCATTTCCGTCTGTCCACAACCTCATTTTTGTTTTTCTATTTCAGTCAGTCTTTCATCTCTCGCTCTGTATGTCGGAGAACACAAGTTTGGTAATTTTGTGCCTGCAGGATTATAAAACAAACCTAACGCGTGCACTCGGCGAGGGGGAAAGATCAGCACGGCTTGTGAATGAGGAAAAAGTGGATAAGTTTGAATGAAAGTTTTATGTAGATTGCATATGTTGGGAGTTGGTAATTGCGATTTCCCCAAGCTTTTACAGTTTTATCTCCTCAGATTTGATTTTTTTTT